AATTTCCAAATGTAAATTCCAACAACATATAGAGGGAACACTATCGCTACCAGTCCCCCAGTGAGAAATGAGGTTTTCTACAAAATGTGATTGCCTTTGACATTGTTGCCATTCCTGTGAAGTGGTTTTTCAATGTTAAAAGAAGCTGCTTCTATTGGGAAGGGATTTGTTCATGTAAAGTTGAAAGTTTACGCTTGTTATGCATGAGTTCGAGGGAAGGAAGACAGAAACGATGTGGAAAGACATGGATGTTCAATGTCATGTGGTTTTGAAGGGCTTCTTTCTGACCCTTAATTATGATCTGTCATTTATACAGAATATAGGGTTCTTGCCACATGTGAGCATCAAATGTGGACCCACTGATGTCTTCCCCATGCATATCCCCTTCACCTTAAAATACTTCCTGCCATCAGTGAGTGAATTCATCCCCCAAGGAACTGAGTCTACAGGATTCAGGATTTGATTTTGTGTGGAGCAGCAAATTCAAATTCTAGATATTCTGCTATGAAGGCAAAGATTATGATAGTCAAACACTATCAGCTTTCTATAGGCAAAAACATGTAGGTGAAATCCTTCTAGAGAATGAACGCTCTACACATGATTTTCTCTATTTGATTTTATTTGATTTATAAGAACACATTGATAGGAGCCCTTCCTTGTAGCATTAAAACTAAATTATGGATATTCAACCATTAATTCCATTGAGGCTGACTTGTTTGTTTTTAACTTTCAGAAGACTGTGATATTTAGACAACACAGAATCAAATGATCTGGAATCCTAATTGTGCTGGATTAGAGTTGAACACACTTTCATGGTCAGAACTGTGATACTTCTACTGGGTTTATCAACTCCTCCACAAAAAGATTTATAACAAGGGCCAATTGTTGTTCTGCAAAACCCTGGTCAGCCGTATCCCAAAGGACCCGGGCAGATGGTAAAGGGGACTGCAGAGAAGTCACCTGGCCGATGGGAGGGAATTGGCCATTGTCCGGGCTCCATGACCTTGGACAGGGCACCTTTTCTCTCTGGGTCCCAGTTTCTTCATGCATAAAATGGGTAGAACTAGATTATTCTTTAAAACCCAAATTTCACAGTTTAAAAGCAACTGGGGCCAGTTGCAGTGGCTTATGCCACTGCACTTTGTAATCCCAGCACTTCGGATGGCCGAGGCAGGAAAGTCACTTGAGCCCAAGAGTTTGAGACCGGCCTGGGCAACAAGGGAGACCTTGTCTCTTCCAAAAAAAAAAAAAAAAATTAGTCAAGCATGGTAACGCACACCTGTAGTCTTAACTTTACTCAGGAGGCTGAGGTGGGAGGATCGCCTGGGCCCAGCAGGTCAAGGCTGCAGTGAACCGAGATCACGCTACTGTACTTCAGTCTGGGCGACAGAGCGAGACTCTTTCTCAAAAAAACAAAAACTGGCCGGGCGCGGTGGCTCAAGCCTGTAATCCCAGCACTTTGGGAGGCCGAGACGGGCGGATCACGAGGTCAGGAGATCGAGACTATCCTGGCTAACACGGTGAAACCCCGTCTCTACTAAAAAATACAAAAAACTAGCCGGGCGAGGTGGCGGCGCCTGTAGTCCCAGCTACTCGGGAGGCTGAGGCAGGAGAATGGCGGGAACCCGGGAGGCGGAGCTTGCAGTGAGCTGAGATCTGGCCACTGCACTCCAGCCTGGGCGACAGAGAGAGACTCCGTCTCAAAAAAACAACAAAAAAACAAAAACAAAAATAGAACTTGAGTCTTCTCATTCACAAGGGCCAGAGAGGGGTGCAGGCTCCTTCCAGCTCTAGGTTTCTCTGGCAACCATGGACCTCCAGGGTTTCATCATCTAGAGCAATCTCTCTTCTAAGGACACCATTCCTTACCCACGTTTCAACACCTCCCGCCAACCACAGAAACCATCCATTTGATCATTCTAAGACCCTGTTCGGTTCTTTAGGTGCCAAGGATAAGACACAATAATTTTATGAGGATTTTTCTGAGCTCTAAGCATAAATCCATCTTTCACATTAGATGCTACCACCTGTGTGCAGGATATTTTAAGTATTTTAATTTCATATCATTTCAAAGCCACCATCAGATAGTGCTCCTCAAGGGAAATTTTGGCTTGGGGTGGAGGCACATGTTCAAATTTCTGTACTTAGGCCAGGTATGGTGGCTCATGCCTGTAATCCCAGCACTTTGGGAGGCCGAAGTGGGAGGACTGCTTGAGCCCAGGAGTTCGAGACCAGCCTGGGCAATATGGTAAACCCTCATTTCTACTTAAAAAAAAAAAAAAAAAAAAAAATTAGCCATGCATGGTGATGCCCACCTGTAGTCCCAGATATTCAGGAGACTTAGGTGGGAGGATGGCTTGAACCAGGGAGGTTAAGGTTGCAATAAGCCATGATTGTACCACTGCACTCCAGCCTGGGTGACAGCTGAGATCTTGTCTCAAAAACAAACAAACAAACAAAAAAGTCTGCCCAGTGCTTCTCAGCATACACGAAAACGTACTGGTTTTCCCCAAACTCTGCTCACCATGATACTTACCCTACGGTTTGAGGGCACCCCAACATGATTCCTGAGGACAGTCAAGCCTCCTGGGATGCAGTGAGCTAGCACCGATGGGCCGCTCTACAATGGGCAAGAATAGACTCAAGGACAGTGTGGACCACAAGGCCCCGTTAGTCTTGCCACTGTGTCACACTAGCTACTCAGCTAGGGAAGGAATTAAACAGGATTCAAGCAGACATAATTGAAATATGTACTTTTTTGACTTCCTGTGAATATCAACTACTACGAAGAATCACTTGATCTGACACATATTATTAAAATGTTGTGTTTTGTATAACTGTTTTTTTTTTTTTTTTTGCCAATGTTCCATAGTTGGTTCATGGTAACAGCAATAAGGTTCTCATGCCAAGCATTCCTCCTTTTACAAGAGGGATAGCATGATGCTATAAGCCTAGGAAAAATAAAATTCAAAGTTTAAAATGAAAAAAAAAAATGGAATAAGACCTACTATTTGATAGCACAACAGGGTGACTATAAACAATAATAACTCTACATTTTAAAATAACTGAGTGTAGCTGGATTGTTTGCAACTCAATGGATAAATGCTTGAGGAGGCAGATACCCCATTCTCTATGATGTGCTATTTCACATCACATGCCTGTTTCAAGACATCTCATGTACCCCATAAATACATACACCTTCCAGATGCCCACAAAATTTAAAAATAGAAAAAAAATGAAAAAGTTTAAAGCGACCACACCAACCGTATTGATAATCCAGTTCAAAGCGACCACACCAACCCGTACTGATAATCCAGTTTTGTATTTTGAATTTTGAAATATGATCATAAACATTTAATGCTGGGCCATAACTAGGAAATTAGTTACTGAACATCTAACTTTCAACAAAAAAAGTCCACGAAGTTTACATAGATAATTCTTGTGTTTAACTAATAAAATATTTAATAAAACGAGAGGAGAAAGTGTAGAGAAGAAAATTATGAATTCATCAAATCAGGCCATTTTGCATCCAGATTGCATTCAGAAAACTTATTTAACACCTAGGAGATTGTTATCCAAAGTTGATAGTGCCTGGTCTTTTTTTCATTGTTTTTGTTCTGAAAGCTGTGCATTACTCATCTATTTTTACAGAAATCTGAAATACAGTATTTATCCCATATGTCCACATGGTAAAGTAATCAAGAAAAATATTTTCAGTGCTTAGCACCCCCAACCCAATTTAAAGGAAACCCTGACTGTAGTAAATTCGTGCTAATTGAGAACTCCGGGGAAGGGGTTAAAACATTACCCAGGTACAAGTCGGGTGGCTATTATAAATGTTACCCAAATAAAAGCCAGAAACAGGAAGCCAAAAACCAGGTCCCTAAGGCAGGCATGTGTCTTAAATGATATCATTTGTCAAGTTTCCAGCATCTTGTGGTGGTGAACACAAAAAGAAGGTCTGTGTTGTACTGAGAACATTACATCCTCATTAGCTGGAATGTTCCACAAGTACATAACGCAGGATTTTCATTTTAATAAGAAGCAGCTACTTGTCACTGCACTTTCATTAGATAAACACAGAATGTAATACTAATGACCATTTACAGAGACTCTATCCTACTCCTGAGGTACTTCATCCAGATGAAATCATATGACAATTTATAGAATATATGATGCAAAACTTCCTTCATTTCTTTGCAAACTATTCCCTGAAAATTTTTTTTTAAATGAAGTCAGTTAACAGCAGTAGTCATCATCAAAGGAACCCCTAAATGACACAGCTGGTATTTTCCGCCTGCAAAACAAGTTTGAACGAATAGCATTTGGCTCTTTAGAAGTCATAACCAAATGGTAACAGATCACTGGGACTCCTCAGTTTCTCAGAGGCAAGCTCCTTCCACCCTGCCCGGCCGGTGACCTTAAGCCCTACATGCAGAGAAGTCCACACTGAGAAATAATTTACCCATTGGGATTGTTCCACCCCGGCCCCTTCTCTAAAACAAAGACTGACAATTGCCCTGAATTATGGATGTACTTTTTGTGATATGTATTACAGTTCACAAGAAAGGTGTTGAGACCATCGTACCATTTCACCTCCCATTAGAGGCTGGTCTTGAACAATAATCCCAGAAGATGAAACTGATGCTGAACTATGACCCTCAATTTACAAATCATTTTTCAAAAGAATAAAAAAAAAGTTTAAACATATTTTTGGCATTATCTGAATGGGCGGAATCTTTCATGCTTGTTTTCTAAGAATAAGTGAAAACAGCATGCAGTGCACTTTCTTAGTTTGTGGAAAGAGAGAACATGAGGTTTTCAGATGATATTTTATTTCAATCCTGGGTGTTTGAATTTTATTTTTACATAGCTGAATTTAGTATATTCCCTCAAAACATAATAAATTTCTATTCTGTAGCTTAAGGGATCCATCAGTTAAAATGTTGGTCTTTCATCTTTATTACTCTCCCATTAAAATGAAAGAAACCGAGACTCACTTCAGTTTCGAAGAAGCAATTTAATTGGTAATGCCCTTAGTCCCCAAGTCTTTACAAAGGGAGAAAGTACATTATTGCTTAGATTTCACACATCTATCTGCATAAGAGGCAACTAAGCCTTTTGGACACCGACTATGTTAAATTTAATAATATTCTTTGATTAGATTATTTTATTACAACATTTTTCCATTACCAGTCATTTCCTGTGCACAGTTACATTCATAAAACCTGCTCCCCCCCTCCTTTGTTTGTTTGTGAATGTAAAAGCGAGGCAAAGTCTCTTTCCGTGTTGCTGTGGCTGTTAGGTCTGAAAGGGACGGATGAATAACTAAGCACCACACTGGACAGGCTTTCCTAGTCCTCTGCACCAGTAACCCTTTGCTATAATGAGGACACAAAGAGCCTCGCATCAGGCCGCTACCCTTCTTCATAACTCAAAAGCGTCACAGTGGCAATAGCCTCTAGTGCTATTTGTCTTTAGTGCAGTTGTGACACTTCGGCATGATCCATAATTTGGCAGCTATTTACCGTGACATTTCCCTTCAGTGCAGCCATAACATTCAGTGAAGCCATTATTTGGTTCCATTTACCATATAAATTGTATTGTTGTGCATGCATGCTAGCAGCTACATTAGGTACCTGAAAATGAGTAAATCTTGTAAAATACATACTAACAGCTATTCAGCAGTAGGATTTCCTTGTTCCTGAGATGGAAGGAAAGAAAAATTAAATACGGTCCCCAACTTTCCTAGAGCATCTTTAATTGCGTCCATATTTATTGAGCAGGTTAGATATACCTAAACCAAAGACTTTGAAAAATAATCTGGTGGGCTTCACCTTCAATTAGAAGGGCACCGTGGGGTTTCTGCGCAATGGTGACAGCGGCAGCAGTCTTCAGGGCACTAAAGGTTAAGCGGGAGGCCGATGAGCCACAGGGTGATTCAGAAGAGAGGGTGCAGGTTTTGCTGCTTTTCCCGTGTGGTCAGTGGGTGAATGTGGGACATCAGGCTGTAGTGCTAAGGAGCATCTCATTCCACCAGAACACGTGGAGAGGGAAACAGGAATGCAGAATGAGTGGCTGCTGTTCTGTTCCCAGAATCAGCTTCTAGTTTGAAAGCCTCTAAGGAAAAGCAAATGTATTCTTCCTTGAGATGACTGAGGTCCCTACAGGGCACAGAGCGATGGGACATGCCGTACCTCGGGCATCGCAGCACACTGTTATTAAGGCCTTGCGGTGTGCCTAGACAGCGTTTCCCTCCTGGGGCCCGTGTTTTGTGGCGAACCCTCACTGTGAATGGAGCGCATACTTTTCTCTTTCCTGTGCCTATATTAATTTTAAGTCCCCCTAATCTCTGTGGTTTCCCTTTCCAAAACCTACTTTCTGTCTATGTAAGTTTTCAACATTAATTTGCTGCTTCAGAGGAAAAAGAACATTTCCATTTCACATGTGCCTTACCAGGGTGATGGTAGATAAAAGCCATTACGTGCTACTTCTTCAAAACACATCTCTGTTCACAGAATCATTTTTCTAATAACAAAATCAAATTTGGGAGGAAATTCCCCCACATGTCCATTTAGATAGTTGGTTAGTGATTTATAGAAAAAAAAAGGAGCGTTTCCTGAGGATACAGATTCTGAAAATATATGGCTGGCTTTTGCTACACTTCTCACTCATGAACTGCTTATGAGCGTAAGACCAAATTCTCCCAAAGCAAGGATTCTTTGGGGAACCACTTTCAAAACTGATTTTAAAATCTGATCAAGCTGAAGACATACTGACTCGATCAGATCTGGCATCAGGAATGAATTTAGTTCCCTGGAACAACAAAATCTGGAACGAGACCATCCATGACTAAAGAATTGAATGTAAGCGTTTTCCCTCTTAGCCATGGAGGGAAGTTTTATTAGCACTTTTTTCCCCCCAAGGGAAGAGGAGGAGGAGGAGGAGGAGGAGGAGACAGACCTATTCATTAACACCTTACTTTTGTTTTAAGAAATATTATATCCATTACCAACTAAAAATAAATTGATTTGAGTAATTCTGAGACATAAAGTGCCCATTTTCTTTCTCCCTTGATTTATGTCATTGTTCTGTTTTTACAGCTTACTGTTGACAGAGTGAGGTAATTCAACTACAATTTTTCCAGTGTTTTTTCCCATGTACATATAATTGACAGCACGGAATATGGACTCCAGGCCAGTAAACCTGCCCTCTGGAGACATATCTCCAAGGTCCACCTCACAAACCAGGTCTCCACTAGCACACATCTCAAGCAAGTGCCCCATGGCTGCTTGATACTTAGAAAGGTAATGGTTCAGGAAGAAGCCCTGCACGCTGGCAGATTTCTTGAGCAGTTTGGCTGGCAACGTTCCTGCTTTCACAGGCGAAAGGCCAGTAGGAGTTTGGTAGCCAGAGATGAACCCTATTACTATCAAGCGCCCTTTGGTAGCCAGGGCATCTACAGCCAAGTCAAACATGGCTCCCCCAACAGATTCATAGACCACATCGACGCCTTCAGGGTACTCCTGCTTAAGGACGGTACCTACGGGTTCAGTTTTATAGTTGATAGGACGATCACAGCCAACAGATTTCAGAAAAGCAGACTTTTCATCAGAAGAGCAGGTTCCAATTACATGGCACTTTGCCTTCTTTGAAAGCTGCACGGCAAACTGGCCCGTTCCCCCAGCTGCTGCTGTCACCAAAACTTTTTTCCCTTCCGACAGTTCTCCGAGCTCTTTCAGGCTGATGTATGCGGTGGTGCCACTTACCAGCAGGGTAAGATACTCGGGTTTCACTGAGGGCACTGGAGTTGCAATGTTGGCAGGCACAACTGTGTACTCAGCAAAAGAACCAGGTGCCATGTAAGCCACAGCTTGGCCAACTGTGTATCTGGCACTAGCAGAGAGGCCTAGGGCCACCACCTCCCCAATGCCTTCGAAACCTATGTCAAAGGGAGGCTTAACTGAGGGGTCATAGCGGCCTGCTGAATAGTTGATGTCAGATGCGTTAACACCAACAAATCTAAAAGAAAACAAACAAACAAATATATTACGATGGGTTTTTTGTTAGGCACTTAGATTCTGCTTAGAGAAATTCCTCTAGTTCTGGCTACTGTGGAGGGGTTGCTAAGCTATACAATCTGATCGAATTTGAGAAAATTAGTCCTGCTGCCCAGATAAAAAAAAGAAATTACACAAGTATTAGTTCAACATGCTTTGTACTCAGTTTTTGGCATATTTTATCCTGTCATCAGTTTAGAAATAATTTCATATCATTTTAAATGGCAAGTTGTTTTTTTCACATGCCATTTATTTGTTTTCTTTCAAAAGTAGAAATAAGCAAAAAAAAAAAAGAAAACAAAAAAGAGTCAGGAAGTTCTCATTATATATAAACTTCATTGGAGCTGTGAGTTGGAAATTAATTGGCCTCTTAACAAAGATGTTAAAAACAACACTGGGATAAAATATATTCAAAGAAGTAGACTTGTATTGATTCTGGCAACAATTTAACACTTAAGATAATAATAGTAATGACAATGATATTATTAAAGATTGATGGAATGTACAAGGTCACTGGTTGCTACATGTTCCTGCAGGGGTTGTTTGAAGCACTGTTAGAGTGGCTGTCGCAAATTTTCTTTCTGATGTAACTACATCCAGTGTGAAAATACGCATTTTGATTAATTGAACGAAAATTGGGTAGAGCGATTTTTATGAAACATTCAACATTTCACAGTCCTTTTCAGATGAAAAGGAAAGCAAATCGTCACTATATTTTTCCTCAACAAGAAGCAGAGACATAACTTGATTAATACCAGATGATTATTTTCATTTTGGTATCCAGAGTCAATTTAATTGCGAGGCCAGTATTTTTCCCAGCCTTTTTCATCTCAGTATACCTCATAACAAAAATATCCTGATACATAGGAGGAAAAAAGCCATCTACTAAGAATGTCAGGAGGTGGCTTAGACACATAACGGAAGACCCTAAAAATGTCATTTCCACCTGTAATCGAATGAAAAGGTAATAGTAACTGGTGGCAGGAGGAAAGCTGTTAAGTAGGTCATTTTGAAGGAATTCACTTTTAACTTAATAAACCAAAACTGCCCTGTATGCGATACACTTTCACTGTGATATAGATAATACTCTGCGCTTATAAAGGCTCACTTATGATCATCCCCCGTGTATCTACAGGACAGAAAAGTCTCTGTATATTGCAGAAATAAGAACACGGGGAGCAACTGCTTTCTGTGATGTCAAGCTGCATTCAGACGCCAGCACACCACACAGCCTCAATAACACCCCACACAATTCCATACCCATAGAAGATACACAATCACAAGAAGAGGGGAAGATGAGTTTTGCTGGTTTCTCATTTGGCATTTAATATCAAGATGCCTATGTTCTATTTTTTTTTCTTTTCCTACATTCTATTTTCAGAGAAGGGAAAATGAACCTGCCATCTTTCCTTTAAATTTACATAATTTTCAAGGCCTGGCGTTTTAAAAAGGGCCCACTTTCCGGGAGCTTGCTTCTGGACTTCACAGCAGCAGCCCAGGGCAGAGCCAACTGGAGCCGTCTCCGTGCCTCTGCCTTAGGCTGTAAAGCAAACTCCAGGAAAGGTGCCCATGGGGGTGGAAGTGGCGGCAGGGTTTGCTCTGGAGGTGGGGGGACAGGAGCCGACCCACTGCCAGTTGTGTTCTGTGCAATCCTTTGCCCATGATTAACCCTTCCCACGCCCTTCATCCCTCCCGCCTTGTCCCCCTGGTGTCTCCGCAGTCCCAAAGGCAGTGGCCGCTCCTCTGCAGGGAGACCTCGCCTTGGGCTCGGAGGGACTCCCGGGCGGCCAGACCCTCTGCGACGGCAGCCCTCGGAGTCCTCCCCACCTCGGAATGGGCACGCCCTGGGGGCTCTGCAGGAGGAAAATGCAACTCCCCCTCTCCCCGCCCCAGGCTGTGGTTTGCCACTTCCTGGGAAGAGGTGGAGAGATGCAGCAGGACGCACACCGGAGCAGCCTGGGGAGCGCGCACACGCGCTGGACCCGGTTAGCAGAGGCCAACTTTGGGAGGGGGGAGTGGGGCTCTGCTGGGAGCTGGGGTGGCTGCAGCCAGCCAGCGGCTGCTTGAGTTTGCCAGGGGGCTTTGCTTGAAAAACCACACCAAACATCGTAGTTATTCGCAAGGGCAAGCGCTGGAGCGGTGGCAGCAGACGAGCGGGGCCCGTGTGCCCGTCCAGGCTCCGTCCGTCCAACTCCCTCTCCCTCAGAAGTGCCTGCCGCCGCAGTCCTCAGCTCCAGCCGTGCAGTCCTGCGGCCTCCCCACCGCCACCACGGAGGGGGGATCATTGACCCCAACTCCAGGGCGGGCCGGGACCGCGCAGGCCGGGCGCCGCGGTAGAGCGGAGGCTCCTCAGGCCTGCGACCATGACCTCGGCCTCTCCTGGCCGGGCAGCAGCCCCCGGCAGGCGCGCCCAGTCGGTGCCCTTCGTCCCAGCGCTGGCCGCGCAGCTCCGACTGGGTGGACAAGTTCTCTCCGAGTCCCGCACACGCGGCGCGCCGGAGCGCAGTGGCCGCCAGACAGGGCCCGCCGGCGGCTTGACCATGACCTTGGCCTCGCAGGCACCCCCATTTCTCACCCTCGCTCTCCCGCCCTGCCGTCTTCTAAACTGTCTGCGTCGTCGGTGAAGGAGGCTTAGGCTGGCTGACGGCAAGCGCCCGCGGTGGCTCGGTTGGCTCCTCGCACCGCGCTCTCTCCCTGGTCTCCCTGCCCCCGGTTCGCTGACCCCACCTCCACCGGGATCCCCTTTTTGACACGGCTTCGCACCCGCGGCTGTTGGGGACCCTCCACAGCCCGGGACCCGCCAGAGTCCTTACCTCTGCGTGAGCGTCCGCAGCTCGCGCCTTCTGCTCCACCAGAAACAAGTTCAAGCGCAGCCGGCGCAAAGCGAACGGGGGCTTGGGACGCGGAGCAGGGGCGGAAGGGCCAGGGAGCCACAGAAAGACAAGAAAGACACGCTGGGAAGGATGCGAGCATTTGGAGACCCTCCCTGTAACCCCCTTTAATTAAAAATATGTGCATGCAATGAGTGCAGGATTCCAGTAATCCGACGGGAGGACCCACTTGAGACTAAAATCCAGGAATCCCAGGAAAAAAGAATAGGACCGGCGCAGGCATTCTCCAAATCTATACCCTTCTAGAATCACCAGCTTATATGTACTAAAAAGTGCTAAACTCCCTCGTCTTGTTCACTGAGAAACAGAGCGATCCTGCGGAGGGGAGGGGAACGCTTTCCTCTGATCAAAAACCAAAGGCGAGGATTCAAGTCCAGAGTAAAAGCCTTCAATACTGGGAGACAAAACAAAGTCGCCCAAACCAGACCTGCCTTAAGAAAAAAAAAAAAAAAGAAAAAAAAAAGAAAAGGAAAAGAAAGGAAAAAAAGAGAAATAAACGAAGAAGGAAAAGAAAGACAAGAAAAAAAAAGTGTGTGTGTGTGTGTAGGGGGGAATCTCAGCCTGGAGAGTCAGCACAAAATACTGTTCCCCTCCCGTAAGCAACAAACCATTCATCAAAAACGCCTTCCCCATCCCCCACCTTCCCTTAGCCATTCCTACAAACTCTTTGCTCCATTATCTTACACTTGAGCAGAAAATCGTTAGAAATATTTGGAAACGAAATAATCTGTCACCTTCTTACGAAAAAAGCTAAAAATAGTGCGTAAACTGACTTAACCTGGGGGTGTCTCTTTTTCTTTTCTGAAGACTGAGCGTAGAGGGGGAGATGGGAAGTTGTTCTCGGATACACAAAACAGTAAGGTAAGAACTGGATAAAGGACCATCAATTATACATTCTATAGGGATTTTATACACCCCTTCTTACATCTTTTCTAAATAGTAAACTTTATTATCCTAAATCAATGTCTAGCTTACAAGCACATCCCTCCCTGTGAATGAAGAATTTGTATTTTCTGCTAAGATGCAATGAAATGTGCAAATCGTTCACTGAAATAAAAAAAAAAAAAGAGTACAATTAAAACCTCCAAACATCTTTCCAAACAAGTGAATTTAAGCTTACTCAATTCACTCTAGAGCGGATTTTATGATGATAAAAATGAGAAGCACTTGCATAAAATTTAAAGCAATTAACATTGCTTAGGGGAGATTTGGTCTAGGATTAAAATGAACTAACATGCAGTGAATTATTAAGCCTCTATTCTTAAAAAATTCGGTAAAATGTTACATCCACTGACACTGTTTGCAAGAATACAGGATCTTCCTACAAAGTGGTGGTGGCAGCAGATTTTCCAACAGAGTAGGGAAAGGGGGAGGCAAAGATTCCATCCCCTCCCAACTCAAAAGAAAACTGGCCCCATTCTTTTCCGTTAAGGATTCAAGGAAGAAACTAGAGGTCAGGTTGTTCATATGGAGATACTATTTACATTAAAGGGATTCTTGGCATGTGTGCAGGGAAAAAAGAAGCATGGATTTTACAGTTGAGCACACTGAGGAGCTCCAAACATGGGAGTCTGCACTCCCGCGCTCTGACTACAGAATTCAGGGATCCACCTGTCTCCCGCCCCGGGACCAACCCTGGTGATCCAGCGCAGGCAGTGCCTAGGCACCCTGGCTCTGCCTCTCTCCCCAGGGAAGAACTTGCCCTTTGGGGAAGGGGAAAGGGAGGGGTCCCAGGGTAGAAGTAAGCCTGAAGGAAGAGGAATCACAGGAGGAAAAAACCCCACAGAGCTGATTAACACTTGCAGATAGAGAGGCCCAGGAGACCCAGCGCAGCCCGGCAGGAGCCCTCTCCACCTCTCCACCGAAGGCGGGTGGTCCCACCAGGCTGTGGCTTATAGTTCTCTAACGTCCCACCTTCCCCCTGCCCCTCCTCGCTCAGTCGCCTCCTCCCCATATCACACTATTTTCAAAAGGAATTTTATTCACAAACGTGTGTGTGTTTATACTAGTGTTTGCAGTCAAGAATATACTTTATCAGAGGGAGAAAAAGGGAAAAACCTTGTGTGGAACTTCTTGCCCGTCAAAGTTTGTTGGGAAATCTTTTCAGTCTGGTGTCATTTCAACTTCTAGCAAATCACTCGTGCGTTTTGTGTGCTCCCCGTGAAAACACACTCAAGCCCTTCTTTTTAGCTGGGCTGTGTGCACGCTCTCAACAGCACAGGCATTTCATCCCATAATGAATCAATCCTCTACTGTGTCCACAGCCAATGCAAACATTTTCAAGGATCCCTACACACTCCCCTTTAAGCCATTCCAGACCAGTCCCCCACCCCCGCCTCCACACAATCCCACCCATGGTTCAAATCATTCTTCGCAAAAGGTTTCCAAAAGTTTTATACCCTGATCAGCATTCTTCCATACTACAGTCATGTTAGGAAGGCTAATAGGAATCTCGAAAATGGACAGATTAAATGCTACACCAAGCTACTTAGGAAGGGTACATTTTGTCCTTCAGTCCGTGCATGGGACTTTGCGGTACTTTCTAGCACAGAATTTACAAAAAAGTTACAGTCAGAACTTACTCCTCCCCTTCGATATTATTATTCAACTTGAAACATGCAGCACTGTAACCATTTCGATGGGACTTTGCAGGCCTCTGCAGAGGGCAGAGAGGAGCGCCTTGCCAGCCAAGTCGGGCAGCCAGGGACCCACGGAGCAGAGACCCAAGCGGGCATGGCTCCGATACAGAGTGAGGTCCGTTTCCTCCCTGTTGCTTCGCCAGTTACTAAAGATGAGTGAGGCGGAAACACACTACGGTGGGGAGCGTGGGGGGTGGAAGAGCCAGAAGGTCTCGCAACAACCCGGTGTCACCTGAATGTCTGCAAAACGTGCCAGCAAAGGCAGCCATGCCCCCACCTCGACCCTGGCCCAGGACACCCGCCACGCGGGGGTCGTTACACTCAGGGGACAGACAACAGTCACGCTGCACTGACAACACTCAGACAACACCGGCGAGGTGCACACCCACACACCCAACAACAGGCTCCGCCACTACCAGGCGGCTGCCAACCTGGAGGGAACAGGGAAAGCCAGCCGGGTCCCAGCCTCCTTCCTCCAAAGCACGTTTACCTAAACGTCGCAGTTTGCGTCCAGGCTGCTCCCGCTCCACCCTAAAGATTATGTCAACGCAGGAACTGTGGGTGCGCGCAGGCGGGCCGGCGGGGAGCCTCCCCTTCTGGGTCCCGTCGGTTTTATTTCGGGAGCGGGAGGGGGAGGAGGGAGGGCTGGAGGAGGGGAGGGGAATCCCAAATTAAAATAACCCTCAGTTATGAGGATGTTCAGTGGCATCGGATATTCACACCAGCAACAGTCACATCACATTCTCCTTCGCCAGATGGCGGCGGGTTCAACTTCCCGGGATCTCGCAAAGTCAGGCTGTGCGCCCGAGCGCGCGCCGGAGTGTGGGCACGCGGGCGGGCTGGGGACGGCTGGAGCGGCGCTGCGCGAGCCGGGGGCGAGGACAGGGTCGTGGGGCTGGAGGGCGCCGGGCTCACCGGTTCCGGACGAGGAGGTCTCCGTCCCCGGGGAGAGGCACCGGGCAGTCCCGGCTCAGGGTGACGGCCTCGCGGAAGTTGGGGCTCAGCCGGGTCACCACCAGCTTCTGCATGGCTCGGGGAATGGCGGAGCCCTGGAAGTCCAGGAAGTGGCGGGCGTAGGACATGTCCACGATGGCCCGGGTCCCGGAGGACGCCAGCCGCAGCATGGCCCGCGCCTCCATCCGCTCTCTGCGCCGACGCTGGCCGGGGTCGGGCCCCGCCCGGGCAGCTCGGCTCGCTGTGCTCTGCTCGGCTAGGGCGGGCGGGTCCGCCCCTCCTCCGGCCGGCGCCCTCCCCCTGGCTCCCCCCTCTTCCCCGCGTCGCCAGCTCCCGCTCCCGCTCCCCCCGCCTCCCCGGCGCCGGCGCAGCCCCCGCGAACCCGGGCGCACCACCCCGGGTGTCCCGGCCTGGGGACCGCTGTCGCCCCGGCCGCTGCTCCTTTAATCTTTTTGTTTTGGTTTGAATCTGCTCGGCGCAGACTGGCCAAGGATCCTCTCCGCCCTCCCCCTTCCTCCTGGCGCGGGAGAGGCACCGGATATCCCCACCCTCCTTGGGCTCTAAAAGCCGGATTTGACTCCTCTTGGGCAAGGGGCGGGGGGGGGGGGCGGCGGGCAAGGGGGGACGGGGAACTCGTGCGTCCCACGGTCGTCCGCGGCCCCGAGCCGGCGGCAACCCCGGGCGTCCCCGGAGCGGCGCGGCGGCCGGCGCAGGCGCCTCCCCTTCCCGTGCGAAGCGTTCACTTCCTTGCAAGGTGGTACGAATCAACCCCGAGCGCGGCCCGGGCGGCGGGGCACGACCGGGGGCCCCGGGCTGGGCGGGGAGCCCCTGCCGCCGCCGCCGCACGCGCACCCGCACCGACTGCGGGGCGGGGAAAAGTCCAGTGCCTCCCGCGCCCCAGGCTGGTGGCTTCCTGTCCCCGGAACGCCTTGCCCGTGCCTTCTGTCCACGGTCTGTCCCATGCAAGTTGCACGAACTAAGCCATTTTATTTATTTTGGCCTAGATTTCATGTTTTTCCATGAACGTTTTAAGTAGCTCTACAAGACTGTTACAGGTTTCCCACTGGGAGAGAACACACATATTGAAAACCAGAAGGCCAAACTCCCAGAGCACAGACACATTTTAAAGTTCTAGGTGGGAATGCCGAGAGACCTAACTGAATTGGAGACGTTGCACTGATGTGTGAGGACCTCATTTTCGAACACAGCTAGAAAGATCTGTCGTTCCATCGTGTCCGTTTTCTCCCTACTGGCGTGCATTGACCAAGTATCAATTCACTTTTCATAGAGAGGCCAAATTAAATATTTCCACACTTTTCTGTGATGAACTAAGTCCATCTTTAAATTTTATTTATATTGTAAATTTTAATTTTAAAAATCTATTACTTTTCGGTTACCCACTAATTACCAAAATATAAAAGCCACTCTGGGCTCCTCCCCAGCCAAAGCTAACCCCTAACCTGAGATTGCAAAAGCGACACAGGTATTTTTTCCCCCCCAAATGTAGGACATGCTTCACCCAAGGGTAGTTTGGATGCACGTGGTTGAGTGTGTATGAATGTGCAAGTGTGTGTATGTGTATGTGTGTGTGTTGGGGGGGACTAACAGGTTTTAAAATCTGCAGGAACTAATGTCTACTTAACTTAGAACATATGGGTTTTACCCGGTATCAGCCAGTGGATTACAATAACAACACTGAATGTCTTCCTCCAATGTACAGTCTTTTATGTTATGCTGTATTAAGATTTCTTTTTTTTTTTTGTCATATTGTTTAGCTCCGAAAAAAAGAAAACAAAGCAATTAAAAAGATTGACAGGTATGGTTTGTGAGAGACCTATTTGTAATTGTCAGGGTGACGTTGGCGAGAGGAGGAGGAGTAAAATCTGAAGCAGGAAAAGCAGCTCGATGTGTCTGTCTATCAGTTGAGACTGTCTGAAAGCTCTGCGATCCGAATGTGTGTTATATTTCACTGAAAAGAGGAGAGAGCGAGAGTGCATCTCCCTCTCTCCCAGGAGTTTGGGGGGGGGGGGAACAGTCCACGCTCATCTCGCCCACCCAGTGAATGTCTGCTCTTCACCCCCTTTGCACACACTCTCTGGGTTGTTACTGCCTTTTTTTTTTCTTGGAGGGGGGGTGCTTTTTGTGTATTTTTCAAATTTTTTTCTGTTGGAAGATCAAGACCGGCCAAAAATCCATGATCAAAATGTGTTTGCATTAGATTTCGCATTGGAAGAAGCGGCGATCCTGGCGGCCAAGCCCCCCGGGGGGAAGCGCGGGGCACCAAGTGGCGCTCCGGCGGGGTGACACTGTTTGATCTGTGACTGTTTGGAAGGTGGAGCGGCGCCTGACATCTCCCCCCGGCGCATGTATGTACGGGGGCTTCACTCCTCTGTCTTGTTTGCTTTCTTCCTCTTAGACTAAGTGCGGGGAGAAAAAGGACAGCCTGGATCGGCCTCGCTGGCGCACAATGAGAAAGCTGCGACCCGCGCACTAAAAACACTCGCCGCGACCCCCAAACAGCGAGGAGAGAGGGGGAGAGAAAGTTGCGCTCGGCGACTCTCGGCTCGCGGAAGAAGGCGCAGGGGAGCGCCCGGAGCGGCGCGCCCGGAGGAGCGCCCGCCCAGCAGCAGCGCGGCGGCGGGGAGGCGGCAGCATGGAGCGCGGGCCGCGGGCCGGCCCGCCGAGCGCCCGCCGCTGCGCCCGCGGCCCGCGCCGGGGATGACTCCGGGCTCGGCGCCCAGGCCCCGCGCGCTCCGCCCGCAGCCCGGCGGCCGGGACGCGGCCCGCGCGGCCGCCGCCGCCGCCTCCTGAGCGGCCCCGGGCGCGGCGGTCCATGCGAGCGGCTCCCCGCGGTCCGCGGCGCGCCCGGAGCCCGGAGCCCGCGGGGACGAGGCTAAAGTTGGGCGCGCCGCGGAGTTGCGCCCGCGCCCGGGGCCCCGCGTCCCCGCGCCCCGCGAACTCCGGCGGCGGCTGAGGCGACGGCTGCGGCGGCCGAGCAGCATGCCGAGGAGGAAGCAGCAGGCCCCCCGGCGCTCGGCAGGTAACCGGCGCGCGGCCCGCGCCGCGGGGAGTGGGCGCCGGGAGGAGTAGGAGCAGGAGGAGGGGGCTTCGCGGGCCGAGGTGCGGGACGTGGGCCGCGGGCCGCCCCAAGCTAGGGAGCAGAGGCCCAGCCTGCGCTGGCCACGGTCGTCTGGAGGCTGCGGTCGCCGTCCTCTCCCGCACCCCCAACCTGGGCCGGCGCGTGGAGCAGAGAAACTTCGCGGTGCTTCTCTGCGCTGCGGGAAGCCTGGATGGCCGGGGAAGGCCGGGGGCCGCGGGACGGCGGGTGCTTCTGGCTACCTCGGGAGGGGGCGTGCGCTGAGGGGAAGTAGTTGCTCCTAGGCGGTCGGAGCGCACTGGAAAAGTCCTCCAAAGGCGGGGAGGCTGAACCTGACACTTGAAAACAAGGTCACCAGGCTGGGACGCAAAGAATGTGTTCAGAAGATTTCTCTGGAAAACAGCAGCCTTTAATGTCCTGTGCAAGAGTGCCCCCCCGCCCCCACTTTTTTATTACCTCTAAAGATATCTTTTGATCAGGCCAGCACAAGGCAGTGATAGTGCAGACTCTGATTGAACAGAAAAGTTATTTTTCTCTGGAGGAGGAACTGGCAGGAGCTGGTTTTCCTTGTTTTCTGTTTTATTAGAGGATTGCCATCCTTGATTTGATGTGTGATTGATCGCCTGTCATCTGGCAGCCTTTGATCTATTCATTCCTGATAAACATCAATAAATCACTCACCATGGAAACACACATGCTCCTGACAGCTCCGCCACTATCAGGGCAACTTTTCTCTCTCGCTCCCCCTTTTGCTGCTCCATTTTAATTTTGTCTCAGAAGTTTTACAGCTGCAGCATCCCTTAACTCAGCTCACCTACTAATCCATTGCTAAACCCTGGGGTGGGTCAGCTGCTATGCGTTTTTCACCACAGGTTTGAAAATAGCCCAGTGCTTCTGCTGCCTGCTGAAGTCTTGTCTCAGTTTTGGACATTGTGTTTGTGGGGCTGAGAATGCAACCCATTTGCCAGTGAGTTATCGCTAAATAATAGAGTAAATCCACTCTCTCCAAGCTCTTAGGGTAAAAATATTAGAAAGAGTGTTTTATGTTTAAACATGAGCGACTCTTTAGCTGTTGCAGTATAGAATAGAATCTGAGTAAGTTTGAGTATTACATTCAGTAATGTGCACGTGTTCAAGTCTTTATACGTGCTTTTTCTGGGGAAGCACTTAAAGCAGAGATTACTGCTACTAAAAAATTTGGGAATAGTATCTACGTTTATGAATGGTTCAATAAAATAAGCTCATAATTTCCATTAGATCCCTGATAGAAATGCTCTCAAGGAGCTGAAGGAGATTACCTTATGCCGAGTATTCACAACGTAAAATGAACAGAATGGAGAATATTTATTTTGGAATAACTTTGAGTAGTGGAGGAAGAAACCTTTCAAAGAGAGTATCTGTGCCACTGGTAGCCCCCAAA